GCCGAGCAAGACTCCGTCTAAAAAAAAAAAAGTCTATAATTTCAGGGCAGAATCTTCTTCAGGCCTCATGTTTCTGGAAATATGTTCATTGTATAAATTACTCTGTATAATGGGCATAGATTAGCTGGTCTAATGCATGTAGGAGATTTTCATTGCAAATCCTCCTTCCAGAGGATCAGGGTGATATCAGCATTGGAAGGCCTCCAGGAAGCACTGCAGGATGGAACTGTGTGTTTTTTTTTTGTTTGTTTTGTTTTTTGTTTTGTTTTGTTTTGTTTTTTAAAGACGGGGTTTCACCATGTTGGTCAGGCTGGTCTTGAACTCCCGACCTCAGGTGATCTGCCCGCCTTGGCCTCCAAAGTGCTTGGATTACAGCGTGAGCTACCACGCCCGGCTGGAACTGTGTTTAACCTGAACCCAAGCCCAGCATTCCCCAGACCTACCTGACCACTGGTTCCCATTTCTCTTTTGCAGGCTATTATTGGAAATAGATTTTGAAAACAGACGCTCGGTGCCGCAAAGAAAAATGAGCACCGAGACAAAGAATCTTTCAGCAACACAATTTTTACTTTCTGGACTGCAGGAAGGGTACTCTCGCTAGCCATCTTGCCACGAGAGTACAATGAATAAAGGAACACACACACATTTATCCTTTAGGCATTTGGGGTTATCCTTACTTGTGTGTCTGATCTCCGTTGGCGGGAACCAGACCTCGCGATCTAAAATCCGATTGGCTGGCGGCCACACGCAGAGCGCGGCGGGCTCCCCCGGGGCCCTCCAAGGCCCTCTGGCCCCGGGGACCGACGGGTGAGCTGGGGGTGCCCCGGGACAGGCCGTGCCCTCTGCCCTTCAGACATCGGAGGCCTCCGCTGTGGCTGCCCACTGGCCAGGCCCAGGCCTTGAAGAGGTGGCAAACCTCTCTACCCGACCCCACTTTGGTGACTGATGGCGGCGGTGGCTTCTCCCAGCACGGACCGCAGCCCGGACCCCGCTGGCCATTGGGTGTCCCGGCCCAAGTGTGCCGGGCCTCGAGGACGCCCCAGCCGAGCCGCCCGGATGCGACGCCTTTACGGCGGCGGAAGTGGCGGGCCGGGAAACATGGCGGCCGCTCGAATGCTGCCCTGCGGAGGCCGTTAGGTCACAGAAGGCCTGGGAAGGTGGCCTGAGGACGCAGGCAGAGTCGGCCGCCTGTTTAGGCCACGGAACCGTGCAGATCCGGGTCCCCAATGACCACTCTGTCCCCATCGGGCGAGACCTACATAGTCCTGACGACAAACGACAAAGGCCTTAACAGGCCTGGGAGGTGAGTGAAGTTCCGAACGACGACGGGTGGAAAGGTTAGCGGCCGTCTGGGGGTTAGTCTTCATTCTACCAGACCTTGCTGTCGGAAGAGAGAAACGGTAGAATGACAGGCCACGTTTGGCCCGTTGGAATGCGCCCTACCCTCTGGGAGGTTTTACTGGGAGGATTTACTGGCCGTTTATGGAAGGCTTGGGTATATAATACGAAAAAGCTGCTCTTAACTGCACCCCAACCTTTTAATAGAAAACATGTGTCACATCTAGCCCTTCTAGATGTAAAGAGGTTGCCGACGTGTGATAAAGTAGAGTTAGAAAACCACACATCTTGTGAATTCTCATTTGTTTAAAAGAAATCATAGAAAATACATGTCTTCTGTAAATGACTTTTGGAAATGGAGTTGTTAGATGGCCTCTGGAAGCGATATGTCCACGTTTGTTCAGTGGGTTAGATGACGTGGGGCTGGAAGACCTGAGAAGGAGGAGAAGGTTCTATGCTAGACTGGTCGTATTTAGAAGACATTTTCATATTGTAGCCATTGTTTGTGTGCATTTTATTCCTCACTATATATAGTGGACAATGCTAAACTTTTTTGAAACGTCTGTTCTTTTTAGATGTTCTGAAGTGCCTGATAGATGTTAAAATTAGAGGTAGTAAAATCACATTTTGTAAAAAAAAAAAAAAAAAATCCAATTGGCTAACAACTTAAAACTATTCTAAACAGGTAAAAGCAATGGAGAACTGGGACATGCCTGTGAGCACGTCCAGCACAGATACTTGACTAAACTACAAGGACATAGAATGTACTACGTGATTGTAAGCATGGCATGTCTAACAGCCACATAGGATAGGGCTTAACAAAGTTATTAGCACACTTATGATTTAACAAGAAAGGAAACTTTAAAAAGGAACATTTCTACTTCCCGCAGCTATCTATGAATCTGGTTCAACAGTTCAGACTCTGGGAATATTGCTCTAGCTCAGGGTTTCTCAACCTCAGCACTATTGATCTTCAGGGCCAGATAACTCTTTGCTGTGGAGGGCTCTTCTGTGCATTGTCGGACTTCAACAGCATTCTTGGACTCTACTCATTAGAAGCCAGTAGCAGGTCCGTCTCACCCCAAGCTGAAATGTCTCCAGATACTGCTATATGCCTCATGGGGGCAAGGAAGCTGAGCTGAGTGATTGCACCTCTACCTCATGCAATCCCAGTAGAGGCGATATTGCCCGAAGGTAAAACTTGGCTCTCGAAAGGAGAAAAAATTCTTACTCATTTTATGTAAAAAGAGCAGGTATACATACACTATATAAACAGATATCCAGTATGTCCGTAGCATTAACATTTTACAAGGGAGTGTTAGGATTAAAAAGTCTCAAAAGACTCCTTGGGGGAAGTGATAGTGAAGAAAAAAAAGGGTTGCCTAACACCATTCTACCTCAGTGTTTTAGTTCCTATTTATGCCAATTCCTCAGAAAGAATGATATTTATGGCTTTTTTTTTTTTTCCCCCTTGAGATGGAGTCTTGCTCTGTCATCCAGGCTGGAGTGCAGTGGCGCGATCTCAGCTCACTGCAACCTCTGCCTCCCGGGTTCAAGTGATTTTCTTTCTTCAGCCTCCTGAGTAGCTGGGATTACAGGCACATGCCCCCACACCCGGCTAATTTTTTTATTCTTTATAGAGACAGGGTTTCACCATGTTGGCCAGGCTGGTCTTGAACTCTTAACCTTGTGATCTGCCCAGCTCGGCCTCCCAAAATGTTGGGATTATAGGCGTGAGCCACCATGCCCGGCTTTCTTTTAAGCTGAACCAAAGAGCTAAGCAGCTGTCAAAACAGGGAAACATCTGGAAGTTGACAAAAAGCTGAGGCTATGAGAAACTTAGGGCTCAGGTCAGCCCCTTGGCTATGACTGCTCCCCACATCTGAAGTCAAGATCAAGCTTTCAGCCAAGACCACTGCCAGTGAAGCTCTGCAATTTCCAAGCAAAGGAGTTTGGTTGAGGAGTCTTTCTGTTGCAGACGGATTTGAAACTGTGTTTCCAGGTCACTTCACTCAAGTTTGAAGCCATTTCAACTATTGAATCAAAGAAAGTGAATCAAAGAAAGTGGTTGCGGCAGGGCACGGTGACTCACACCTGTAATCCCAGCACTTTGAGAGGCCAAGGTGGGCAGATCGTGAGGTCAGGAGATAGAGACCATCCTGGCTAGCACGGTGAAACCCCGTCTCTACTAAAAATACAAAAAAACCAGCTAGGCATGGTGGTGTGCACCTGAAGTCCCAGCTACTCCAGAGGCTGAGGCAGGAGAATTGCTTGAACCCAAGAGGCAGAGATTGCAGTTAGCTGAGATCACGCCACTGCTCTCCAGCCTGGGCAACAGAGAGAGACTCCATCTAAAAAAAAAAAAAGGAATGTGGTTGGCTAACACCTTCCAAGTCACTCACAGACACATACATTTGGATTCATTTTTCTTTTCTGTCTTCTTGAGTATTCTTTTTCTTGACCGTCTCTGGCCTTCCTTCTTATTCTGGCGTCTCAGATACCACTTGTCAGGAGAACATTGCGATCTTGATTGCTCCCTGCTGCATATCTATGATGAGAAACTAACAGGTTGCTGATCCAAAATGTAGAGATCATTGCCACTGCGTGTGGCCAGTTAAATGTAGAGATCATTGCCACCACATGTGGCCAGTTAAATGCGGAGATCATTGCTACTGCATGTGGCCAGTTAAATGTAGAGACCATTGCCACCACATGTGGCCAGTTAAATGTAGAGATCATTGCCACTACATATGGTTAGTTAAATTGAAATTTAAAAAAAAAAAACTGAAGCCGGGCGCGGTGGCTCAAGCCTGTAATCCCAGCACTTTGGGAGGCCGAGGCGGGTGGATCATGAGGTCGAGAGATCGAGACCATCCTGGTCAACATAGTGAAACCCCGTCTCTACTAAAAATACAAAAAACTAGCTGGGCGTGGTGGCGCGTGCCTGTAATCCCAGCTATGTAGGAGGCTGAGGCAGGAGAATTGCCTAAGCCCAGGAGGCGGAGGTTGCGGTGAGCCGAGATTGCGCCATTGCACTCCAGCCTGGGTAACAAGAGCGAAACTCCGTCTCAAAAAAAAAAAAAAAAAACTGAAAAGCCAAAAAGCAGTGGCTGACACCTGTACTCCTAATGCCTTGGGAAGCTGAGGTGGGAGGATTGCTTGAGGCCAGTGGGCAACATAGCAAGACCACTATCTCCACGAAAAATAAAATTAGTCAGGCATGGTGGCTCACACCTGTAGTTTCAGCTACTTGGGAGACTGAGGCAGGAGGATCACTTGAGCCCAGGAGTTCGAGGTTACAGTGAGCTATGATTGCAACACTAAACACCAGTCTGGGTGACAGAGTGAGACCCTGTTTCATTAAAAAACTTGTTTTTAAAAAAGCCAACAAATACATTTTAAAACTAATAATCTTCCTTTTTAAAAAGAAGCTGATTTCATTTTTTTTCTTAATCTTTTCCTGTCATAGAACAAACCTTCCTGGCCTTCAGTCTTGGGAAATAAATGACTAATAATCATAATTTTCTGCTTCCTACTTCTATCAAAAAAACCCCACTTGAAGTTAGCACAGTTGGGTGAGGGAGAGAGCTGGTGCTCACAGGAAGCCACAGACTCTTGAGAGGCACCTGTCCTTCTTAGCACCGCGCTTCCTGAGCAAGCCTGGCATTGCCTCACAGACCTTCCTCAGAGCTGCTTTCAGAAAAGCAAGGTAAGGGGGGACGGGGACATTCTCAGAGCCTAGAGTCACACACTGCTTTCTGGACCTGGCTCAGATGCTCAGCCCCTTGCTGTCTAGGGCTCACAGCCGGCACCTACCGTGCAGCCCATACGCCTTCTACCTGTCCCCACACCTCCAAGCCCTCATCTAATGGGCATTCCCATTACGCAGAACTCTCCTCCTGCACACATCTGGCCTGAGTCCACATGCCCTAGATAAATAGATCATTTTCTTTCTTTTTTTTTTTTTTTTTTGAGATGGAGTCTTTCTCCGTCACCCAGCTGGAGTGCAGTGGCGTGATCTCAGCTCACTGCAACCTCCGCCACCTGGGTTCAAGAGATTCCCCTGCCTCAGCCTTCTGAATAGCTGGGACTACAGGTGCCCACCACCACGCCCAGCTAATTTTTTGTATTTTAGTAGATACAGGGTTTTACCATGTTGGCCAGGATGGTTTTGATCTCCTGACCTCATGATCCGCCCGCCTTGGCCTCCCAAAGTTCTGGGATTACAGGCATGAGCTACCTTGCCCGGCAGATCATTTTCATAAAAAACATACACTTGCCTGCTTCTTGCGAGACTCCCAGGCAAGAAACACCACACACACGAGGCCTACAGAAGAACTCCAGACACTGACCTGCTGTGTCTTCCATTGTTTTGTTCTCCGGATAGTTCCTTAACTCCTCAGTCTTGTTTATTCCTTTCATTTTCACTGGTAAAACGATGGAGAAAGACTAGAATTGTCATTCATTCAACAGACTTTTTTGGAGGCTCTGCAATGCAACATGTCTTGGTATCCATTTGCAGGAGTAAACCAAATCTTTTTTCATTTTTCTTTTATTTCTTTTTCTTTTCTTTCTTCCTTTTTTTTTTTTTTTTGGAGACAGGGTTTTATGCTGCTGCTCAGGTTGAAGTGCAGTGACGCCATCATAGCTCACTGCAGCTCTGAACTCCTGCGCTCAAGGGATCCTCCTGCCTTAGTCTGCTGAGTAGCTGGGACTATCGGCATGTACCACCACACCCAGCTAACTTTGAAAACAATTTCTTGTAGAGACAGGGTCTCCCTATGTTGCTCAGGCTGGTGTGGAACTCCTTGGCTCAAATGATCCTCCCGCCTCGGCTCCCAAAGTGCTGAGATTATGGGCGCGAGCCACCGCACACTCAGCTTCTAAAGCTCTTTCTTGAGAAACACAGTTTGGGCATTGGGTGTGTGATGCTGAGGGTTGGGGGAGAGATTGAAGGTGAAAAGAGTTTTGACAGGGAATGTGAGGGTGCCACAAAAGCCTCACCAAGGAAGCAGGGGAGTGGCCTTGAGTACGAATGCCCATCAGTGCTGAATTGCTCTGATACACATGCGAGCATGTGATTAATTTTAAGATTTCAGCCTTTTTGTCTGCCAATTTAGATCGGAAGTGAAGGTGGTTGGGAGGTGGGGGTTTTATTTCTGGCTGCGATGTGTGTTTTCTAGATCCATCAGGCTCATTCCCACTCTAGCAGGATTCTGTGCTTAGAACTGATTTTTGGGCTGGGCACGGTGGCTTACACCTATAATCCTAGCACCTTGGGAGGCCGAAGTGGGTGGATCACCTGAGGTCAGGAGTTCAAGACCAGCCTGGCCATCATGATGAAACCCCATCTTTAAAAAAAATAAAAATAAAAAAAAAGAACTGATTTTTGCATCGTGTAGTTTGATGATGACCATGACCACACCTGGCACCTACCTTGCACGATGATCATGATCTTCATCAAACTGCATATAAAATACCTGCGACTGAGTATCACTCAATTGATTTTGTCATTCCTGAAAGTGATCTCAGTAACCCCATATTATGAAATGTCTTTTTGAAACACATCCTTGAAGAACACCTGCTTGAAAAGGAGGTTTTACGATTCTCACTTGCAAATGAGAGAACTGAAGCTCCTAGCAGAGAGGTAAGAAAATCAGTGAGTGGCAGAGCTGGAATCTGAAACACATCTGTGTCTGCCTCCAGAGCTCAAGAATTATTTCACCTGGCTGCGGGGCCCTGCGAGGAATCAAGCCCTTCATCTTGGGGAGGGCATATACAGACCTGGAGCAAAACAACACGCTCTGCATTTAGCAACACTTCGGTTTATTTTTGTTCTCACCTTATTTTGTTCTTCCCCTCATTAGCTTCTTCTGGTTGGGCCCAGACCTGCCTTGAGGAGCCTGTAGAGTTAAAATATGAACCCCACGGATATAGCAGACACCACCCTCGATGAAAGCATGTACAGCAATTACTATCTGTATGAAAGTATCCCCAAGCCTTGCACCAAAGAAGGCATCAAGGCATTTGGGGAGCTCTTCCTGCCTCCGCTGTACTCCTTGGTTTTTGTGTTTGGTCTGCTGGGAAATTCTGTGGTGGTTCTGGTCCTGTTCAAATACAAGCGGCTCAGGTCCATGACGGACGTGTACCTGCTCAACCTTGCCATCTCGGACCTGCTCTTCGTGTTCTCCCTCCCTTTCTGGGGCTACTACGCAGCAGACCAGTGGGTTTTTGGGTTAGGTCTGTGCAAGATCATTTCCTGGATGTACTTGGTAGGCTTTTACAGTGGCATATTCTTTATCATGCTTATGAGTATTGATAGATACCTGGCAATTGTGCATGCGGTGTTTTCCTTGAGGGCGAGGACCTTGACTTCTGGGGTCGTCACCAGTTTGGCTACCTGGTCAGTGGCTGTGTTCGCCTCCCTTCCGGGCTTTCTGTTCAGCACTTGTTACACTGAACGCAACCATACCTACTGCAAAACCAAGTACTCTCTCAACTCCACAACGTGGAAGGTTCTCAGCTCCCTGGAAATCAACATTCTGGGGTTGGTGATCCCCTTGGGGGTCATGCTGTTTTGCTACTCCATGATCATCAGGACCCTGCAGCACTGTAAAAACGAGAAGAAGAACAAGGCGGTGAAGATGATCTTTGCCGTGGTGGTCCTCTTCCTTGGGTTCTGGACACCTTACAACATTGTGCTCTTCCTAGAGACCCTGGTAGAGCTAGAAGTCCTTCAGGACTGCACCTTTGAAAGATACCTGGACTATGCCATCCAGGCCACAGAAACTCTGGCTTTTGTTCACTGCTGCCTTAATCCCATCATCTACTTTTTTCTGGGGGAGAAGTTTCGCAAGTATATCCTCCAGCTCTTCAAAACCTGCAGGGGGCTTTTTGTGCTCTGCCAATACTGTGGGCTCCTCCAAATTTACTCTGCTGACACCCCCAGCTCATCTTACACGCAGTCCACCCTGGATCATGATCTCCATGATGCTCTGTAGAAAAATGAAAAGGTGAAACGCAGTCAATGGACTTTCCACATTGAGAGCTTAGTTAAAATGAAAGAGATTCCTGAACCAGCATGAGGAGAAAGGCTTACACCCACTGTGGACTCATCCTGCAGGCATCGTTTCCTCTCCCACTGGACAAGTCCAGCCTGGCAAGGGGTCACCTGGGCTGAGGCATCCTTCCTCACACCAGGCTTGCCTGCAGGCATGAGTCAGTCTGAGAACTCTTAGCAGTGTTTGAATGAAGTTGTAGGTAATATTGCAAGGCAAAGACCATTCCCTTCTAACCTGAACTGATGAGTTTTTCCAGAGGGAATTGCAGAGCATTCGCTGATGGAATAAATGGCTACCTTTTGCTGTGGAAAATGGGCGCTCTAATTTCTTGCTTTTATGGAACAATATAGAAAACCGTTTTTCTAATAATATATCTCAGGCATAGTATATTCCATTGAGCCGAATGTATGAAGAAACAATTAGCGAAGTGATGAAACCAGATCACAGTTCTTTATTGTAAAGGATTATCTGTTTGTTAATTGAAGCCAAACTTTTTATACTGATACAAGGATAAGGATATGAAGACATTAGCACGGTCTGATTTCCAAACATGAACTACAAGGCATTCAGAATTCAAACATACTTGTGAAAATTCAAACAGAGTTTCTCATTTGTTTGTGGACATGTTTTGTCCTAATTATAACAGATGAATATTAAAAAATTTAGAATCATACATAGGCCAAGAATACATTTATTTGAGATCATTTATTTGTTTATTTACTTATTATTATTTTTTGAGATAGAGTTTCTCTCTTGTTGCCAGGCTGGAGTGCAATGGCACAATCTCGGCTTACTACAATCTCTGCCTCCCGGGTTCAAGCAATTCTCCTGCCTCAGCTTCCCGAGTGGCTGGGATTATAGACATGTGCCACTACACACAGTTAATTTTGTATTTTTAGTAGAGATGGGGTTTCTCCATGTTGTTCAGGCTGTTTTCGAACTCCCTACCTCAGGTGATCCGCCCGCCTCGACCTCCCAAAGTGCTGGGATTATAGGCGTGAGCCACTGTGCCCAGCCTCTTGTTTATTTTTTATTTTTATTTTTGAGATGGAGTCTCACTCTGTCACCCAAGCTGGAGTGCAGTGGCGTGATCTTGGCTTACTGCAACCTCTGCTTCGCGTGTTCAAGCAATTCTCCTGCCTCAGCCTCCTGAACAGCTGGGATTATAGATGCCCACCACCATTCCTGGCTAATTTTTGTATTTTTAGTAGAGACGGGTTTGCACCATGTTGGCCAGGCTGGTCTTGAACTCCTGACCTCAGGTGATCTGCCTGCCTCAGCCTCCCAAAGTGCTGGGATGACAATGATGAGCCATGGTGCCCAGCCAAGGTCTTATTACTTGTTTATAAACTATCCTTTCATAATTAAAAGTAGAGATTAATAAAGTATGATAATACCTTCTTAATTATTTTGAAGTGCCTGCTATCAACTGAAATAAAAATAATCAACTAAAAGTTATTGTATAAAAATCGTTGTTAAAAAATTATGAAATTGTGAAAAGTGTCATTCTCTCTTAAAATATTGGCCCTAGTTTTTAACTTTTGGGTGACTCACAAGTCTGGTCAGTCATTCCTTACAAGTCATTTAAATTATTTAATTAATCCTTTTATACTATTAAAATAAATTGCTATCTCCATCCATACAGCCTTAATTCAGCAAAGACTCCAACAAAGTCTAGGAGACCTCCAATTCCTCCCAAAACAAAAACCTATCTTGCAAGCTAACTGAGTTAACCAGTTTAAAATGCTTCTGTTATGTTTATACATTCCTATATGCGCTACATTTATAAAGAATGCATTTCTAGAAAATTTATTTTCAGAAAAGTGATTTTAAAGAGGGGAAGTTGATGCTGTCTTTATAGAAAATGAAATAAAATCAACTCGGATATAGCCCCACAGAGCATTTTCTCCTGATCGTGCGTGTTTGTGTTAGATCTCTTGACGCGGGTGAGAATCAGAGCTGCTGATGTGCTGTTGCTCCGCCACATGCTGTAGACGTGAACTTGCCCAAGTGGAGGAATCAGTGTTCCCTGTTGCGATCTCCATGTGGGGTTGTGTGTTGCTATCTTGCTGTAGGGTACTTGGAGATGACAGCGAATAAATTAGAGGGTGGTCGTGGTGGCTCATGCCTGCAATACCAGCACTTTGGGAGGCCGAGGTGGGCTGATCACTTGAGATCAAGAGCTTGAGACCTGCGTAGGTCCATCTCTCCTAAAAATTCAAATATTAGCCAGTCGTGGTGGTGGACGCCTGTATCCCAGCTACTTCGGAGGCTGAGGCATGGCAATTGATTGAACCTGGGAGGCAGAGGTTGCAGTGAGCAGAGATTGTGCCACTGCACTCCAGCCTGGCAACAGAGCAAGACTCCGTCTCAAAGAAAAAAAAAAAAAAAAAAAGGAAACCTCAGAGGTGAGCTGAGATCTGCCAGATCCTAGCTCTGCATTCCTCTGTTAGTCTGAGCATGTTACGTTTCTCTCTTAGCCACAGTGTCCTCTTCTGTAAAACATACTTCAGAGGGATTGGGGGAAAAAAAAAAAGATGAGAATATAAAGCACCCATGTTCTTAGGTCATAGCTAAAGGAGAGTTTTGGATCTGCCCAATCAGAATCTGCCTCTCTTTTTCCGGTAGAGCTTTTAATTTTATTCATTTAATCATAGTGAGGCAGAAACTTTAGGGCACCAAAAGACAAAGACTGGTCAAAGGGGCTTTACTGTCCCTTCATTTCCATCACAGGCTGGATCAAGCAACGATGAGGTGCAATCCAAGTAGCTGTCATACCTCGCCTGAGGATAGGTCTTTTGTTTCCTCTAAGTCAGTCAGAGCTCCCCTTATTCCAAAGTTGGAGAGAATATTCCTCTCAGGACAGGAATGTAGACCCTCTGGTGCCATCCAACCATAACCCTCTTAGAACACTCAAAAGAAAGTTTCTTCCCATTCAACAAAGACCCATAAAAAGAAAGCCAGCATGATTATTTCCTTTTCTCTCTCCTTCCTTCCTTCCTTCCTTCTTTCTCTCTCTCTCTCTTTTTTTCTTTCTTGAGATGGAGTCATGCTCTGTCACCCAGGCTAGACTGCAATGGCATGCTATAACCTCCACCTCCTGGGTTCAAGTGATTCTCTTGGCTCAGCCTCCCAAGTAGCTGGGATTACAGGCATGTGCCACATACCCGGCTAATTTTTGTAGTTTTAGTAGAGAAGGGGTTTCTCCATGTTGGTCAGGCTGGTCTCGAAGTCCTGACCTCAAGTGATCTGCCTGCCTTGGCTTTCCAAAGTGCCAGGATTACAGGTATGAACCACCGTGCCCAGCCAGCCAGCGTGATTTCTAAAGATGAGTTTAACTGTAAGTTTTCAGACATTAGACTCGTGTCTTTCTTGTTGCAATGTGCCTAGCCTGTAATTTGCTTAGGAACAATAGAAGTGGGTTTGCTTTTGGGGTGATGTAAATGCTTTGGAACTAGATAGAAGGCTGGCTGCACAATGTTGTGAATGCACTAAATGCTACTCGAGTGTACATTTAAAAATGGTTCATTTTCTATTATGTGAATTTTACCTCAACAACAATAACAGCAAGAATGATAGGAACTAGTCCAGCCAACATCTGTCCCATAGTAGGCTCTCAAGTTCTATTGAATAAACAAATTAATTTCATCTGCTTCTCATGAGAAGAAATAATACAGGGTGAAGCCTAAGGGTCTTTAGACCTTGAGAAAGATTACTTGCAAGAAACTCTCATAACAATTTGGAAGTATTTCTGTTGTAATAGTTGTCTGTTTTGTACCAAGCAGATTGCTAGTTTATGGAAAGAATAAAGGAATAAAGGAGTAAGTTTTGCCATTCACAGAATTCAGAGTCTGATAAAGAAAACAGGCCGGGCACAGTGGCTAACGCCTGTAATCTCAGTACTTTGGGAGGCTGAGGCGGGCGGATCACAAGGTCAGGAGTTCGAGATCAGCCTGACCAACATGGCGAAACCCTGTCTCTACTAAAATACAAAAATTAGCTGGGTGTGGTGGTGCACACCTGTTGTCCCAGCTACTTGGGAGGCCGAAGCAGGAGAATCGCTTGAACCCAGGAGGTGGAGCTTGCAGTGAGCTGAGATCATGCCATTGCACTCCAGCTTGGGTGACAGAGCAAGACTCTATCTCAAAAAACAAAAAACAAAACAAAACAAAAAACCCCTACAAACACAGGACTAACTATATTGCAAGCAAGACAAGTATGATAATAGAGCCACAAGAAAGATTCTTTGGGGCTCCAGAGGAAGGAGAAGTTGATTAATTTCAAATTCTCATAATATGATTAGCTCTAGAGGTAGACCTTGTAGGAGAGGCATGATTTGATGAAGGGAAGGAGGAAGGGCTCTCTAGGCTGATGAAACAGCATCTGAAAGGTGGAGTGGTGTTCAGAGAGCATTGTGTGGTTGGGGGGTAGTAGTAGCATTTCTTGTAAAGTACACGGGAGTGGGGCAGTGGAGCAAAGTCGGGAAAGGTGAGACCAAAGAAAAGTACAGACCTAAAAGGCAGCAGCCTTGAGTTAAGGACTGAATCAGCTGCCATCCTGCCAGGGCGTTAAGGGAGCTATCCAAACACCACCCGTTCAAGACTGAAGCACTCACTCTACTAGGTATCAGGAATGTTGGCCCTGATAGCTCTCAGCTGGTCTCCCTTCAGGAATCGTCCTCTCTGGGGGCAGCTCATATTCAGTGACTGGATAATGAGGAGATACAAGTGCTTGCCCCTTGCCTGGATTTGGGATTGCTACTCCAGAGCTGCCATAAGATTAGCTGAGGCCTCTGTTGCAACTACATTGCTGTTCAACTTTTCCTACTGTCCAATCTGCTTTCTTTATGCCCTTAGTGTGGTTTCCAAGAGGACTCCCCACTAAATCTGCTGTGTGCTAATCTCAGAGTCTCGGAGCATGCCTGCAGAATCCTAATCTAAAACAGGGACTTTCTGATCACACTGGGGACAAGGGAGCACCTCACATAAATGGAAACTGACCCGTGAGCAGGAAAATCAGGAGACGTAATCTGCTCCGGGGATGTCCTTCATTCATTACCCTCTAACCATCAACTTCACCTCAACTTTGGCTCTTCTGCTTTCCTTTACTCAGTCTCACTTTGGCCCCATAATTTGCCTGTCCCCAACCCTGAGGCATCTTTTCCTACACACCTTATTCCTGTTAACAGTCACAGCCCATCTCTACTTTTGGTCATGCCACAAGTACCTGTCATCCTAGATCCTGTCCCCTGCATTCAGAGGCTGTCCACTCCCTCTCCAGCCTTTCTTGACTAAAATGAACCAGACATAAGCTCCACCCATTTTTGTGGTCACAATACTTTACCCCTTGAAAGCTTACTATTTAATAGCTCCAAATTCCCCTTTGAGAAAATCAGGCATCCTAGTGCTTTTATAGATTGACACTCATTT